CGTGAACAAGCATGTTACTTACGCACATGTGGGATTTATCAACAATGAGTACGTTTACATGGACAACAAAAATCCGATTTTAATGCGATTAAGACAATACTCTGATTAAGAATCTACCATGTAAACAGAGATTTTTGATTATCTTAATCTGGCTAAAGTCATATTTGAAGTAAACAGAAATCTAATTAAGACATGTGGAGTATTCCTATTTTAGTCACATTATTGAAGTGCAGTACAGACATGTACACACCTTAATCACACTATTACCGTTGTGTAGGACTTTTTGCTGCATTTTGCAACAGGATACACACACGGCAGTGCTCAACCGTTTGACGGCAAATAAAAGAGCTTCAACACCTCCGTCGTCTGTATGCACGTACAAATAATTAACTGCGCTTGAAGCTTTCATAAAATAAAAAATGAAACACCCAAAACTGTACATGGCATCATCACGAAGACGAACTATATGTTTATACGTGAAATTCCGGAGGGGACATCGGATGGCGTCACGTGGGACATATTGACGTGGGCCATTAATCGAACTATGTACTATAACATGTAAAAAGGGAACATGAAAGCAATATTCTAAAAGCAACTCATGTAAACACCTTAATCGTAATATTGTCTTATTCAGAATAAGGTAAATAATTAGATTACTGATGTCCATATAAACGTAGTCAATGATTGCTTACTCATGTGCGTAAGAACTGCGTGCGAACGTTTGATAAATACAGATTTTCTTGTACTTAGGCACCTTCTAAATTTCATTAGGACAAAATATAGAACTTTTTCTATGCACTGTTGATAAATGAGGGCCCAGGAGCTTACAGGTTTAAAATGATGTGATCGCAAAAGCCTGCTTCTTTTCATTTTAAGATATTATTTTCGTTATAAAGTACTGATTCAAATTAGTAATCAATAATTAATTATTATTCTACTACTCTGCACGCCTCCCCTGACATGCTCTCGCGCACCACACACTCCACTTGCATTCATTCATGTGATTGGTCGAGATGAGAGGTGATCCCGCATGGGTAGTGTGATTTATATAGTGTCCTTTCTAGTCATATATGGGATCATATAATCACCCAGACCTAACCCTAACCCTAAAGGCTAAAATATAGAAGTGCCAGTACTGCCCACTTCAAGCCCTGCATGACACAGAAAGCACTGCAGTGCGTGCATACTGTAACAGTCCTGAGTGCAGACTGTACCATTGGTCAATAAGAATGAGTAAAGCGCAGATATGCTGTTCTGAAAGGACGTCGGGAACGGGATATTGTTAGACCGCCCGTTTCCATTCAAATTACACCAGGGTTACCGACTGCTACCATGTTTTATTCGGAAATGTAATCCCGCGTTGCAAAAAATCTCGTCGGGTCCCGCGGTTCCGCGGGAATGCAGACCTCTATCCTGGACTCTCCACCTCTGGACAGTGCGATCTCTGTGCGAGATGTGATTGTTGTCATATTTCTATATAAATCTAAAATACAAACTAAAAATGGATGATAAAGACACCTTTCGTATGGAATTAAATAGCAAGCACTTTGAGGGTCTTGTTCATCATATTTATTTTCATATAAAGCAGCACAACTGAAATTATATCATGTTTATCAGCAGCACAGCACTGAGTGAGAATAACGTTGTTCCACTCCGAGAGGTCAGAACCGTCTTGACTGCACTTGTTTCACTCCTCCCCTCTCTGCAGCCGTCTACTCTCGCCTACATTTCAGGTGAGGGCGGGTATAGGCTTAGATCTCTGCCACAATTCTGCACGCGAAAGATCATATTTTGAGCGCACAAAAGTGCATTTTGCACTCGCGCAATCTGAGTTTTGTGGAGAAAACTTTCTTTTTGCAAAGAAACCCTTGCTCAACACAACCCAGCGTTACAATATGTCATAATTCCAGCCAACCAGAGACGAGGCTGCTAAATTCTGATTGATTGCCTTGATAAGCACTCACAACATTTCTTGCATTACCACGACAGCAGAAGAGGAAAAATACAGTGCATGCATCATTATTATGCAAGTTGATATTCTGATTATATTTTTTTCCAAGCACATTTTACCAATTCCAAACAACATCAATCTTAATAACCACTAGTCGTGGGAAGGCTGGAAGTGAAAAACGCCTTATATTCAGGGGTGCATAATTATTAAGCATAATTATTATCTTCTACAGATAAAATGTCAAGATGGACTAAAAATGAACTCCCAAAACTTACTGCCAGATAAAAACAAAAAATGTATTCTTTTCAAAATGTAGGATTAGTAAAGAGGTAAAATTGAAATTATATGGTCAAGATATAGAAAGAGTATCATGTTTTAAATTTTTTGGTATATGGTTTGATGAAAAACTCTTTAAAATACGTTCTGTCCAATGGTTATGCATTAACTTTGCAATTTCTAGTATTGTATTAGTTTTGAATATTTCTCATGGGCATTAAATAATTTTTGACTTTCAGACTGAGTTAAATCTCTTTTTTTGGCTAGTTTTATCTGTAAAAGAAAATCTGCTTAATAATTATGCACACCTGAATATAAGACATTTTTCACTCCCAGCCTTCATGAATAATTATATATCAATTATAAATGATTAAATAAAATATTAATAGTAGTTATTTGGAATTGGTAAAATGTGCTTGGAAAAAAATATGATCAGAATATCAACCTGCATAATAATTATGCATGCACTGTATTTTTCCTCTTCTGCTGTTGAGGTAATGCAAGGAATGTTGTGATTGGTTGTCAAGGCAGCCAATCAGAATTTAGCAGCCTCGTCTCTGATTGGCTG